GAGGTCATTACAAATAGATAATCAGATACGATGTAAAGTATCACCAAGATTGCAAAGACTTTTTAAAGACTTCTCCAGATACACCATATCATCCAGAGCAATAGAATGTGCCTCACCGCCTCTATCTAGTTAAACCTTTCTGTAACGACAGTTAACAGATGGTCAGAAAACTGACCAGTTAACAAGTCAGATCCAAATCAAGATGATTCAAATCCATATGTTTCTTATGTCATAAACAAATAGAACCACCTGTGAGCTTTTCAGGATGATCATTAATGCTACTTTTTTTTCAGATTTAATAAAAAATGGATCACTGTTTAAAATATAAAATCAAATGTAGTAACGGTTCAAAAACATCAAATGTATTTAAAGTTGATAGGGCCAATCAGTTTGTACATCCCTTTTTCTGTAATTTACTGACCGGTCTGTAACCTATGCAATAATTTCACTGACAGGTCTGTAAATTATGCAATATTTTTCAAATGATATTTTTTTTGGACTCCATGATTTCTCTATGCATACTTGCATAGTGTAACCCTAACTTTTTTCCTCATAATACAACTAAATAAGTAAGAAATCCTTCAGTCTGTAAAACAAATGATTCTGGATAATCCCTACAGATTTAATAAAAACTGGATCACTATTTAAAATTTCAAGTCATATGTAATAACGGTTCAAAAATATCAACAAATTTAAAAAAATATCAAACTATTTAAAGATGATATGCTCAATTTATTTGTACAGCCCTTTTTCAGCAATTTACAGACTGATCTGTAATTTATGCAATTATTTCACTGGTAGGTCTGTAAATTATGCAATAGTTTTCAAATATTGTATTTTTTGGATTCCATAATTTCTTTAAGCATATTTGCATGGTATAATTATAACATGACTCCAAATTCTATTCTCCAAAAATAAAAAAATAATATAAAAACCTTCAGGTTGTAAAATAGATGATTCTGGACAATCACGACAGATTTTCTTTAAAAAAATTTTGGTTTTTTATTTTCTTATAGTTGTTTAATGACTATGAAAAATTTCAAGTAAAATATAATAATGAATCAAACAATAATTAAATAGTCAGTATGACCCCAAAAATATATAAATTATAAAAAAACTCTCAGCCTGTAAAATATTATGAATTGGTGATTCATGACAATCACGACAGATTTTTAAAAAAAAATTTTGGAATTTTATTTTCTAATAGTTGGTGGGTCATTATGAAACATTTCAATTTAAATGTATTAACGGTTCAAAAGTTAGTATGACCCCAAAAATATATAAATTAGTAAAAACCCTCAGTTTGTAAAATAGACGATTCTGGTCATTCCCGACAGATTAAAAAAATAAAAAAATTTTTGGAATTTTTTTTTCTTATAGTTGGTGGGTCACTGGGGAAAATTTCAAGTCAAATGTATTTATGGTTCAAAAATTATTCTAAAGTCAATAATACTCTCATTTTCGGTGCCATAACACAGCTTATTTTCCATACCTAAATCATACCTTTTGTCAAAAGTACCTTTTCTCAAAAAATCATCAATTTTTCCACTACAAAAAGATCAATAACTTTTGGTTCGCTTAACTTCGAAAGCTGAATGACCCCTCATTTTTCAAGTTAAGCCAAGCTTTATACAAAGACATCAATTATATTTGAATATTTAAATAATAAAAAAACTGTCTGGAATGGCTATATTAAGATATTATATATTAAGCATAATATATTAAGACTTATATATATTAAGCATAATATATTAAGACATAATATATTAAGATATTATATATTATGCTGCACCTATTCTCGCCCACCCAGGCGAGATAAAATGCATTGGGGGACAATATATTTATTCTGTGGGCAAGATTGAGTTAATTTGGTGGGTTGAGCAGAAAACAATTTTATGCATATTCTATCATTTCAAACGATTATAAATGTTATTACAATCAGAGATTAAACAGTGGAGAACAAAGTTGAATTACAATTTAACACACATAATAAGTAATTAACTCGGTAGATTTGCATCAAGTGGTTTGAATTCGGCAAATTAAGTGGCAAAAAAATTAACGATAACCAACAAATTTTCTTTAAGAGATACTTTTTTATTTGCGATTCTTAAGGTCAAAATTGTTTTGATGTTGATAAGGGTGATTTGCTGCTCTAAAAGTACGTCTTTTTGATGGTGCAGCGTGTGAGTTTACTGACATATAAGCAATTAAAGATGGTGGGCGAGATTGATTGATGGGCGAAATTATGTAAAGTTACCCTATATTTTAAATTAGCTTTGAATTGCGGAAGTGTTTGTTCTGTAATATGAACAATCTGTTTAAAATATTTTCATAAAAAAGGTCCCCGATACTGAAAAGAATAAGAACATAACTTTAAACTAAATTTTGGAGTTACAAAATTTGAATTTGGAGAATCTGGAGTATTTGTGGCTTATTTCACTAAAATATTCAGATAATTCATTTTTACTAATTTTTATGCGAATTATTGAAAATATCGTTGGTTATGTTATCAATTAAGGAAGTTGATTGAAGTGATTGAGTAATTCTAATTAGTTTGTTTATCAGAGGTTGCTCCATTTTCAAATAGGTCATTATAAAAACTATGTTAAAATTTAAATTAAAATTATCTTTTTTAATGCGATACTCAAACCAATTTAAATTCAAATCCCATGTTATTTCTTGTAGTGGTTGCTTTATTTATAATATCATTATGTAAAAATGTACTAAAGGTTTTAATTTCGCAGGTGGGCGATACCACAATCATAATGTTTTTAGTTTTATTGATCAATATTTCAATCGCTAACCTCTTATTGAGTTCAGAAACACTCATGTTATGTCTAATATCGTAGATTTTCTTTTATATAAATAATTAAACCACCGCTGCGTTTATTTGTTTTCCGCCCTAATGAAATCAAGTTATAGCTCGGCATTATAAAACTATTCATCCGAAAAAAAAATTATCTGCTTCATCCGAAAAAAAAATTTTTTGGGTGGCAAAATAGTCACCGATGGGCGGTACAATCTAAATCTAGAGACCCTTAAAATGATGGTATTTTATATTTGAATGATTGTATTTTTTTCATATTTTATATCTTACATTAATTCTAATAAAACCAAGAATTTTAAAATAGATATTAAAATAGATTTATATTCATATTTATTTACTCATATTTACTCTTATTATATTACTCATATTTACTCTATTACTATTTATTCATACTTATTAGTTTAATTTTCTGAAGAATCATGACACACAGCGCTGTTGCTAGTGGGTTGGAGCCCACCTTTCTTCGCTTCCAGTAACTAATGCTTCCAACCTTGTAGGAAGTAAAGATGTTGAAAAAAAAAAGTTGTCAAAGAAAATTATTCCGTGTTAAATTAAACATTAAGCAATGGTTTGTAAAGATGAGCCAGATGATCATACACAACAGCTGAAGAACTTCAACCCTCAACTTCCAATGCTAAAAACGCTAAAGTCTCTCGACCTTCATAGGATTTCTCAATTTCTCTGCTTGGTTTCGAGCTTCAACCATTAATTTCAAAACCATCCAAAAAGATACGGGTTCAGTTCAGTTAAATTTGTATACTACCACACACAAAAAACTCCAATAAAAATAAAAAACTCTAGTGGTAACGCACCCTGTGACGTAAAAGATGGAATCAGTTTTGAAATTAATATGCTCAAACATACATCTACAAAGTAAATTATACATCAGTCAGGACTTCTGCATCTAGCATAAAATTTATATCACATACATCTTCCTCTTCATAAAGTGTATTGAAATGAATCAGTCCTTTTTCTTCTTCTTTGTATTAATAATGTATAAACTCCTGCTACATTATATAATGAGTAATTTGGATTTTTTGGGAATTTTTCTAACAATCGTAATAAATAACAAGAATAACGATAAGTATAATAGCTAAATTAAATTTCTAGAAACTTAGGAAAAAATTTGACAAAAATAGCGATCTTCGTAACAAACAGCGATTTCTTTAAAAAAATTGCGGTCTTTTGCGAGAATAAAGATAAAAACGCGATTTAATCTTATTTGTTAAAGTTTTTTGTTGATACAGGGCCGACGACACTAGGGGGGGGGGAAGAACAGAGGCACATGCTCCCTCCCCCCCCCCCCACTTTTTTTCTAAAGGATCTTTTTTTTATAAGAAAATTCTAGATATATAATTTAAAGAATTGATGATTGTGCCCCCCCCCCCCACTTCGTGTCGTCGGCTCTGTGGTAAATCGAAAAAAGTCTCATTTCATTATTAGGTATCGGTTAACCGTAATCAAAAAGCAAAATCTGCGTGGGGAATACCTAAATAAATATCGTAATCGCAATATATCGCCCGCGATTTCTTATCTATAAATCGCTATCGAATATTACAGCATTATCACTATCATTGCGTCAACACCAGTGCTTAATGTAAACGCGTATTTCATAATAAACCAAATACTAAAATTTACTTTTGTAACTACAGAACAGTTAAAGGTAAATTTTAGCATTTGATTTATTGTAAAACAATAAATCAAATGTTCTTTTTTCTAACTTTAAAATAAAAATATCTGAATTTTTATTAGTTGTCAATCTACTACATGGATTGATAAGTTCCCGGAATTCCAAGAAAAACAACAAAATGTCGGGAAAAATATGTTTTATTCTTCTATATAATCACCTTTTAGAACAATACATTTATTCCATCGATCTTTCAACATTTCAATTTCCTTCTTAAAATGATTTTTCTCAAGTCCCTCAAAATATCCATTCGTTTCTTTTCGGACTTCTTCATTTGTTGCGAACCTCTTTCCCTGGAGCCATCTTTTCAAATTAGGAAATAAAAAGTAGTCACTGGGTGCTAAATCTGGCGAATAAGCTGGCTGGGGAAGTATTTCCCATCCTAACTCATCAAGTTTTGCCATTGCTTTTAATGACGTGTGAGATGGCGCATTGTCATGATAATACAAAAAATTTTTCTTCCGCAAAGGTCGGCTTTTCTGAATCTCATCCCGTATGCGATTTAATAAGGACGCATAATACTCTCCAGTGATCGTCTTTCTTTTTTTCTAAGAAATCAATAAATATTATGCCACGTGCGTCCCAAAAGACACTTGCCATAACCTTTCCAGCCGATTGCTGGAAAACGCAGCCGATTGCTGCGTTTTCGTCCATCGTAATAAAACGACGCAAAACTTCCGATAGATTGCGATTAAACATGTCCAAACACTGTTGAGAAGTCGTCACTCGGTTGCGTTTTTGGTCAACAGTCAACACGCGCGGCACCCATCTGGCAGCAAGCTTTTTTATTTCCAAATGTTTGTGGAAAATATTAAAGACACGTTCATAAGAAATGTTTACACGGTTAGCAATTTCACGAACTTTGATTTTACGATTTTCTATCAGAATATCATGAATTTTTTCGATCATTTCTTCAGTTGCGACCTCTTTTGGCCTTCCTGAACGTTCTACGTCACTTGTGCTTGAACGACCACGTTTGAATTCATTATACCAATCGTTAACAGTTGTTTTCGATGGAGCAGAGGAACCCAAAGTTTTATTGAAGTCATTTATTATTTCTTGAGGTTTTAAGCCTTTCAAATATTGATATTTTATCACTGCCCGAATTTCAGTTTTTTCCATATCAGCAAAAAAATCGAGATTATTTTACTTCACTTGCTATAAACACAAAACTAGATAATAAACTGACTTAAAATTTATATAGTAATCGTATACAGGTCTGAACTTGCCGTACATATAAATTTTATCTTTATAGCGATGATTCATACATCCATTCCGGGAACTTATTAATCCATGTAGTTTACTTATGTAACTTATGTAAATAAAATTAATGTAATTAATTTTATTTACATAAGTTAATGTAATTAATTTTATTTACATAAGTTCATCTAATTTTATATGTAAATAATTATATGTAATTAATGTTTTATTTACATAAGTTCATCTAATTTTCATAATTTAGTTCATCTAATTTTCATAAAGTTTATAATTTACATAATTTTATTTGAGAAGACTTGCAACTTTTAAATTTTGAACATTATATTTTGTTGGTATATTTAAAGTACATTTCAAAATTAATACTTCGAAATGTACTTTAAATATACCATCAAAAATCGCTTAGTTTAAAATTAAAGATGACAAATTGTATTTTCTTTTTTTTCTTTTTTTAATAAAAATAAGTTTTCAATATAAAACCTTTTTGACAAAAAAAAACAACAAGCAAACAATATTTGTCAGAACTTACGAGAGTTTTTTAATTAGTCAACCAATTTCTTTAAAAGTTTCAATTTAGTCCGCAAAATGTGAGTGAATAATAGTTTGAACGATATCTTGTACACTTAAATCTACATTTATTGTTAAACATTCATCTTCAGACGGCACTTCTAAACATGCAAATTGAGAATCAAGCAACGTAGGAGACATAAACAAGTGCTTCCTTAGTAACATTCTTTCTCTGATCACGTCTTTGCTACCGGCGAGATGAATGAATCGAACAGCTTCAGATACTTTCAGTTGTTGACGGTATTTTTTCTTGAGAGCAGAGCAAGCAAGTACAAACGAAGATTTTTCCAGCATTTTTCTATCAAAACAAAAATAAAATATTAACTTTTCCTGAATCTTATATCCTCTTAGCGCAGTTTTAATTGAAGAATTCAGTCGCAATCCTAGACCCACCATCACTATTCTACATTCTTCCGTCGAAGCTCTTCACCCTCCACCAGTTTCGCAGCCTTCTTTAGCAGCTTAACACTTTTCACTACATTTCACATACTCCTAAGAATTAGCATACAAGATGAAAAATATGTTAAAAAATATGTATATCTATATATTTTTTATATATTATATATTTTATATGTTATATCAATCTAATAAAACCTACTCAAGAATTTTAAATGTTTATACTTATTCATAATCGCAAATTTTTTAAACCAAAATTTTCAAGAGATCAGTTTACTGTTGAGATAACAGTATAAGTTCATATTTATTACTTTAATTTTCTGAAGTTTAATGTCACACAGTACTGTGGCTAGTAGGTCAGAGCCCCAGCCCCCCACTAAAACCAGTCATTAGGGCCCCAAAACCTTAAAAAATTTTCGACTAGGTATGACAAAAAGAAAAATTCTCCTCAAGTTAGCAAAACGGCCCCTAAATTTGCAAATGAGCCCTCATCCTTCCCCAATAAGGTGTGTCGTTGCCTAGCCATGGCTCTGATGCCACATAAATATTTATACATATATTAAAAGTAAAATTCTGAACACTACTTAAATGAACGGATCATTTCAGAAACACCATAAATCATTTTTGGAAAAAAATGATGAAGCATGTAATCGTGTTATATGAGACTATGTACATGTTGCATACACATCAGACCTTTCAGTCAACACTTTAGAGGACGTTGACTAATAGGTCTGACTATTTCTCAATAAAACATGTTTCTACTCTCAAATAATATGATATCGTGCTTGACTCATTTTTATCTAAAAATGATATATGGTGTTTCTGAAATGACCCATTCAAATAGTATTCAAGTAACTGAAATTCTGACCCACCTGATAATAATGTCTGTAAGAACACTTAACCATATCTCACGATCCTAGATAAACGTAAAATTTTGAATTTCCTAAAAATAGCTTAAAAGACAACTACGCTTTTTAGTAAATAAAAAAACAATTGAAAAAAGTTGAAATAATCATAATAATTAATAAGGTATATAATAAAATAGAAAACTAGGTAACTAGGTAAGCCATTGTTTACATAGCTGCTTTACAAATTTGCCCCCATTTATAATAGGAAACAAAACGTCTTGGTTTTGTTTTAAGAAAATATCTCTAATAATCATAATCTATTGTAAATAAACTGAATGTACTTATTATTCAGACATGAGCTTGTAAAAAATTGTTGCACAAGAAACTTCAGATTTACAAACAGAAGATGAAGAACATCTAACACGAAGTTACCAAAAAAGCTTTATGTTTTTATTGTTTTTTTATTTTCTTTATGGAAATAATTTTATTGATTTTTTTTTCCTTTATCAGCATTATTATTTTAGGATGGTTTATATAATTATATTAAAACATAAATAATCAAAATATATTAATAAGGTAAATGATCTTTGTTGTTGGTTGATGATTGCGATCGCCTTGGTGTTGATTCAATCAACTTCATTATTAATTGATCGATCATCAATCATTTTGATTGTTATTTCAAACCAAAGTTTGAAATAACAATCAAAATTCAGGAATTTTTTTTTTTTTTTTTTTTTTTGTTGCTTATTTTTTATTTATTGTAACAACATTCAAACAATTAACTTGAAAAAAGAAAACATGACAGCCAAGATCAAGTGAAGGAGGGGGAGGGGCATATTGTGTTGAAGAAATGGAAAGTGCTAGGGTGTTTCGAAGCAATTGTTTTGAAAAGAGATAGTTGTTCTTCTTGTTTCCAGGTCTTCACTGAACAGTATTTTCTATCTACAAGTGGTTTAGTAATGAATTTTGAAGTTTTTATTCTAATTGATTTCTTATTTTATTTTTTATCTAACTTTTCTCTTTTGAAAGAACAAAAAGAACATTTGAAGCATATTTTAACAAAATTTGTAATTTTATTAAAATATGCTTCGAATGTCTTTTTTTCTTTTTATTTTTCAGTATTTATTGAAAAATTTAATCTTCATTTACACTTGAATCTATTTCTTAAGAAGTTTTTTCACAAAATTTCATTTATTAATCAGTTTATTTCAGCTTAAAAAAAGAAAACATGTCTTAGATATATTATATTTCTATATATATCTATATGTAGCTTTAACATCTTTTTATCTATTTTTAACATAGTATCTTTAGCTTTAACATAGTATCTATTTTATCTATTTTTTCCTGATGTGCAAAGACTACAAATAATTTTTTTTTTTGAGAAAAATCATTTTACTAAAGAAGTTGAAGTTTTTTTTTTAAATTTTTTAGTTTTCTCTGATCACTTAAACCAACATTTTGACGTAAATTTCTTTAATATTCACATATTCAAAATTGCAGAAGACAATATTGTTATTACTGAATTCAAACTGAGTTGGAAAAAAAAACTGAATTTGCTTGAAGATTTTACATGCTTTTACATGATTTTACATTTGATGAAGATAAAGATGCTTAGGATGCAAGGTTATGCTAGAAATGAATGAGTTAACAACATCTAAATGAAAATCAATTACAATTCAATAAAATTGATTTCAATTTATTAAAATTGAAAATTCACCAGATCTCTCACCAGATTATAAAAATATAAATGTAATAAAAATAATGATGTATAAAGTTAATAAAATCTATCTGTAATAAAAATAATCTAATCTAATAAAAGTAAATGGCAGGTTGTCTAAGACAATCATCATCCTAATTTAATGATGAATACTTTGAGACCTTGAGTCTCATAAAGAAAAAGTCACAAAAGATATGGAACATATTTTTTGTGACTTTAAAAATTCATAAATTTAAGCCTAGGAAATTCCAATAATTTTTTTCTGTAGTACCATAATAATTTGTAATTTTGACAAAACTAATGGATTTTATTGGCAGGTTGAGCTATTTGCTGTTCAAATTTTTTTTGTTCTAAATTGCATTCTTTTGGATGGTTTATTTTAATATGATTATGAGAAGGTGTTGTACTGAAATATTTTTAGTCAGCCTCCTTGGTTCCATATTCATCTTTATACATATGTTACAGTTTGCAAATGTATCATTTATTTTGTAAAAAATAAAATATAAAGCTCATTATCATAAAAAATAGATGAAAAAATATTGCTGCCCCAGCTCAAACCCTCAGTCAATGTAGTGGCACTTAATGTTATTGTTAGGTAATGAATTTTGTAATTAACTTTTGAACAATAAAGGATATGCAAAATTCAAAACAAATTTTTCTTTGATTTATACATTATTGTACACTTGTGGAATTGGTTAATGAATTGATAATTAAGTTGTTTTCAAATAAAATAAAAGATAAAAATATACCTTATCAACTAAAGGTTCCCCAGCAAGCATTTTTTTGACAGATTCCACTGAATGATACTCATCAGCATCAATAAAATCAATATTTAACTAAAAATAAAATATTTAGCTAAGCAATTGAAAACTGTATGATTTATTTTTATTAGTATATTGTATATACTTTTTATGTTCTATGTTAAACAATATATTTAAAATTTAAGCAAAAATGAAAAAGCATTGAGAGTTAATTTGTTATTTTTTATGAATAATGAAAAACATGATTCAAAAAGAAAAAAAAGTAAATACTTGCTTTTTCTGCTAAAGCTTTACCGACTGTTGTCCTAAAAAAATTAAAATAATTGTTAAAAATATTTCTTATTATAACAACATAATAACTGTTGCAACATAAAAACATAACAATTGTAGCAACATAATAACTGTTGCATATCACAACATAATAACTGTTGCATATCACAATATATTAACTGTTGCATATCATAACATAATAACTGTTGCATATCACAACATAATAACTGTTACATATCACAACATAATAACTGTTGCATATCACAATATATTAACTGTTGCATATCATAACATAATAACTGTTGCATTTCATAACATAATAACTGTTGCATATCACAACATAATAACTGTTGCATATCACAACATAATAACTGTTACATATCACAATATATTAACTGTTGCATATCATAACATAATAACTGTTGCATATCACAACATAATAACTGTTGCATATCACAATATATTAACTGTTGCATATCATAACATAATAACTGTTGCATATCACTATATATTAACTGTTGCATATCATAACATAATAATTGTTGCATATCACAACATAATAACTGTTGCATATCACAACATAATAACTGTTGCATATCACAACATAATAACTGTTGCATATCACAACGTAATAACTGTTGCATATCACAACATAATAACTGTTGCATATCATAACATAATAACTGTTATATATCACAACATAATAAAAAAACATGTTTAAAAAGTACTTTTAAACATGTTTTTTTATTATGTTGACTTAAAACAAATTCTTAATTTGTTCTACATAAAAAAAATAATAATAACACAGGATTTAAAACTTTTTAAATAAAATAATATTATTAGGGGTCCCCAACACAATTGAAATTGAACAGTTCTCTAATATTATGAAAAAAATCCTGATAAAATGAATCAATTAAATGGTCTCAAATTAAGTAAAATTAAATAAAAATTAAATGTTTAAGAATCTTTTTATCTTTTATCTCTTTAATATAATAAATTTACTTCAAACAAAGTTACAAGCAATTCAAGTTAGAGGTTGCAAGCAATTCAAGTTAGAAGTTGAAAGCCATTTAAGTTAGAAATTTAAATTCATAAGATTTAATGACTTGGAAGTTATTGTTTTTAAGCTCGGAGTCCCAGAGTCCTTGCCGCCATTATACCTAAGGACTCCAAGTTCAAAAAATGATTGCTCCTCTAATCTAAAAGTTCTAATTTTTTTCCTATTAGTAGTCCATAAATTTATTATATTTTTAAAAAATATTGTTGAAACTACAAGCTGTGAAAAAATAATGTTAAAACTACAAGATGTGAAAAAATTTAAGTGAAAAACAACTTAGGAACTGAAATCCGAGTCATTAGGATGTCAAACATTAAATGAATCATTAGGATGTCTAACACTAAAATAGCCTTTTGATGTTAAAATACTTCTTTGGGATGTTAGGAACAGTGTCATTAGAAAAAGAGATAAATTAGTAAAAAAAGTTCTTAGAAAACAGTTTCAGAATAGAAGAAACATCCTTTTGATCTTGATATATATTTTTTTAATCAGCAGCAGACAGACCAATATCAATTGTATCTTCTCTTTTGTATAACATTTGATCTGATAGATTTCATGATTTTTTTAGTTGTATCAGAACTTTCTAATACATTATTAAAGAAAAACATAATGTGAATGTTAACTAATATGCTTTTTAAAACATCTAATAAAAATAGGACACCCCAACAGGGTTGGCATTAAAAAACCCGCCCAAAAAAACCCGCCCAATAAAACCCAAAAAAACCTGCCTTAAAAAACCCAATAAAACCCTGGAAAATCTGGGTTTTATTGGGTTTTTTTAAAGATATTTAATAAGTTTATGAACTATTATAACCAACTTTAACATTATAACTATAATATTATCTACTAAAATAATTATTAACTATTTTTATTAACTTAATTATTATTAACTATTATTATTAACTATTATAACCAACAATAACAGCTATCAGAGCAGGTTTACTATTATTTGAATCATTATTTGGAAATACATTATTACAATTTTTATTCAAATATTTATCGATTGAGATTTTTATTACATAATGTTGTTCACCTCCCAAGTTGAATTTAAATGAGTAGTAGTGACCAGAGAAGCCAACACAACAGTCAAGGAGGCTACCTTGTTGTGGTTACAACCCTCTCTCAACTCTTTTGCGGTAGTGGTGTTGTGGTAGAGCGCTCACTTCATAAGTGAGAGGTTCCGAGTTTGATCCCCACCACGTCCCTGGCAGTACCGCGCTCAACTCCTTTCTCCGCGCAGCGGCCTTGTTCGTCAAGGTTCATGTTTCGGAGTTATAGAGTTGAGAGAGGGTTATAACCACAAATAAGTAGCCTCCTCGCCTGTAGTGACCATAAGCTTTGAGGAGGTGAATTGATTTAAAGAAGAAAAAAAACTCTTTAACTCCTAAACACGAATCTTTATAAACAAGGCCGCTGCGCAGAGGAACAAGTTTGTTCATTTGAATTTCAAGTTCAAAGTTTAATTGAAACTTCAGTTACTACCTCCCATTCTCAAGCCTTCTTTTTCACATTTTCTCATTGACATTTTTAATTATATAAAATAATACTTTTAAATTTAAAATAAATCAATACATATAGATTAAGTGTGAAATTTTTTTTTCCTATTACAGTTTTAAATTATATTTAAAAATCTTTTTCAAAATAATTTGAAAAATTCTTGTTATAAATAATTAAACAACAATATATTAAATATATTTTAAATAAAGTTAAAGTAGAAAAAAACTAATTTTCAATATCAATAAACAAAAACACACAAAATTTTTTTACAGAGACAAAATAAAAATTATACCCAAAAAAACCCAAATTTACCCAATAAAACCCAATAAAACCCAAAAAAACCCACTGGTCCGGGTTTTTTTAAAAAAAACCGGGTTTTTGCCAACCCTGCACCCCAATATCTATAAAGACTGAATACTCATTAAGTTCACAACCTTCTTTTACTGTCTTTTTTTTTTTCAATTGACATTAGACCTATGTGAAGATATCTGAATCATATTTTGTATGCTAAAATGAGATATATTTTGATTAAATGATTTTAATATTTGCTCTCAAATTGCTTTACCTAAAAATTGATACCTTGTAAAAATCTGATTTGATTCATTGTTGTACAATAATGATGAACCATTTTTAATTAAAAAAAATAAAAAACAGAGTTAAAAAGTTCCAGGGTTCATCATCAATAGAAAACTATGTAACACAGGTTTATACGTACAAATGTCTATAAGATGAAAAAGAGGTTTATTGCTTACCCCTAAAATCGTTACCTAAGACAAGTATTTTACAAGGCAGTACCCAGATGTAGTTTACATCTGCTTATAATGAGTTCTTTTAGGCAGGTAAATATTTTAAACCAGAATCAACTACTCCTAGCCTTTGCCTGAAAAGCAAGCCCTACAATGCAAAAAAGGCATGTATTGGATTACATTTTACCAATAGCAGGATGATCATAATGATCCAAATTATGAGCTAGCAGTCTTATGGCACCCCTTAAAATATTCAAAACGTTTTTATCCTTGCTTTATTTCATTATGTAAAACATATTTTAAAGGATTTTCAAAAGATTTTTCATTATATAGAATATTTAAAGGACACTTATTTAAATATAAATGTATGTGTTATATATTAAATGCATAGTATCATTATGCATTTATCACATCACTTATGCAATTTTAAGGAGATTTTAAGTCAGCTCATAACCTTTGCAACAAATAGTACTAATGAGCTGGTAATTAAAAAAAAATCAGTTTATTTTGCATCTCAGAAGAAAAGTAGTCAAATCCAGATTAGGTCATTAGTAAATTTAGAATACATGTGTGCAGCAAATTTTAGAACATTTAGAAAACATGTGTGCAGCTCAAAAGCCTCGCCTAAGAAGGTATAAGTCTTCATATTGTAAACAACAAAATCTTTAAAAAAACACCAGAACTATTAGGTAAACTTGCACAGCTTTATGTTTTATGTTACATAATTTAAAATTAAAAAAAGAAATTTAAATTTTTGCATTTTTTGTTTTAGAACACTCATTAAACCATTTTTATATATTTGTTTTAATGATGAGTTATCCTAATCACCCCAAACCCTAACCTTAATTTATTTATAGATAAAAGCACTGGAGCATACACAAACCAACTAATTTAAATAGGGACAATAATTTTAAAATATTTATTGTCTAAAGAATTCTGTTATACAGAATTCTTTAGACAATAAATATTTTAAAATTATTATTTAGCAGCGCACTGCCTGACAAAACGTTTAAAATTCTTTTGACTTCCTAAATACTAATTTATTATTTGATCCCATCTGATTGTGTTTTTTTTTCCACCTAGTTTTTAATGATCTTGTTTTAAAGAATAAATTTATTTTTTATGTATTTTCTTTGTTTTTGTCTTTATCTTTAACTTAATACTATAGTCAATACTTTTTTATTATTACATCAAGTTTATTTGAAAGAAGTTTATAAGCTTTCATTTTTTTCATTGTTTCATTCATTTAATTAAAATATAAATTCATAACGTTTTTGCATCATTAAAATATTAAAAAATGAAATAACGATTTCTTTTCATTAAATCATATTTAATGTTTTTTCGTTGCTAACACTAATAGAACTTTTATAACTTTTTTAGCAAACGTTTTCACAACTATAAACTTTTTTTAAAATTTTCTCTCAAATAAATTTATAATTTTAATTAAGTTATAAATAATATAAACTATAATTTTAATAACAAAAGCTTTTTAAATTTAGTTAAATTTTGGCCAAAAACATTTTAGGTTAACATTTAGAAAAGGATTTTTTTTAAATGTTTTACTTCAACTGCTAAAATGCAATTAAAAATATGTGAATAGTGATTATTTTGTTTTTAACGATAAGCAAATAATTCGGTTCAAAACATGTTTTAAGAAATATTTTTTTAGAAATTAGGTAAAAAACTTTTATTATTATACATATGGTTTTTAGCAAGTGCTTTTACAAAATTAAAT